TTTTTCTGTGATCACCAGAGGTTGTGAGCCCAATGGATTGGGGCCAGTTGTAGGAGGCTTGGCTGTTGTTGATGTATTTGAGATGTGAGTTGTGGAGATGTGGGTTCTTTATTAAAAATGCTATATGATGAACATCTGCTAAGCATATCTTTCTTGTTGACTGCTGTCTGGATTAGCCTCTCTCTAGATTTTCACTCTGAACTTGCAGGATTTTAGATGTTCTTTAAAAACCTGGCTTTTTCACTGAATTCCTTGGATAGGTTGTAGTGTGCTACTGATGAAGGGTTTTTTTTTCTTGTGATACATTTCCTCATATAAGTGAACTTCTTTGTTGTTCTTTCTTGTGTTTTAGGTATTGAACCAGCCAGAGCAAGTTTTACACAAGACAGCCTTATAAATACATAAGTTGTAACAGGGAAAACAAATTCTGTTTTGGTTTATTCTTCCTGCTGCTTACAAGTGAAAAGCACTTTAAGTCATGAGGAAGAACCCAAACAAAAATTTATGCTACACTGTTTACAGAACTACAGGAATGCTGACTTTTGCTTTCCAAAATCTGAACAAACATATTAATCATTTTTACTATAGCAGCTACAGCTGAGCTAAATACTATTTGCCAGCAGATGGTGCACATTTGAATGAGTGCTGAGAATTGTGGGGTTTGTCACCTTTCAGACTGGTAACAATAGGTAACAAATGTTAAAGCTTTACGCTAGAAGGAGCTTTCCCAGTGCTCTTTAAAACCCCTTCTCTTCATCTGTTGCCGGTCAGTGAAGCTATTTCTCAATAAGAAAGCGCTCTTCTGGATGTCTTCTAAATCTGGGTCCAAAAATAGCCTGGCTGACAAGTAATAGATCCAGAAGGATGAAGGATGAAGCAAGGGAATCTCCAAGTGCTTGGCATAACTCCTCTTCTTTACCTGTCTTTCAGGTGATTTCTAAATATGGATATAGTTCTCTTCTAAAAGAGAACTATAGAACTATTCATCTGCAAAAATCAGTGTTCCAAAATAGGCTGGCTGAGAGGTCAGAGAAAAAGTATAGTGCAAGACAGTAATAAATAACAGATGAGCTTTTTCTCTGGCTGGGGTTGTTAAGAGGATGGTAAACTACTAGATGGCTGTGAAGAACAAGCACACTAGAGCAGATGTAATTGTGGTGAGTCAGCTGATGAGACAATGCTAGGTTATGGCTTGCACTCAAAGAAAAAAAGGGTAGTGTGTACGTGCAAAGCCTGCCTAAACGCTGATTGATTAAAGGCTGATGAGAACTGACTGCTTTGCATATCATAATAGGCATAGAGTTAAGGTATAGAGTTGAAACTGAGCCAATAGAGTGCCTGTTAGATAATTCCCAGAGTGCCTATTAGACAATACTTCTTTAGCTCATGCTGAAAAATGTATAAAACCTTGGTGAACTCTTTGTTCGAGATCCTGGCATTTTGCTAGCTGGAACCCCTTTTGCTGAAGCTCTTCAATAAAAGAAAATTAACTCTGTACCTTATGTCTGGTCATCTTCATTGGCTTTGGTGCCAGGCTCAGACCCAAATTTAGGGATAACAATATGGGGGCTCACCTGGGATTTACCACACCTGGATTCGACTGGAGGGCACCAATGGCCAAGAGGAGGACCCCCAGATGGGTGACAGTGGCTGAAAGGTGTGCGAATGGACTAAAATAAATTCCCAGTTGGTGACCAGGACTATGTATTTCTGCATATGTCAGCCACACCCGTTCCTACAAGCCCCACCAGGTGATGACTGGAGAGCTTTGTAATGCAAGAGATGTTGCAGAGATCTGTATGTCCCACCAATGCAGAGTGGATTGATTGAGTGGAATAAGCCATTGCGTAAAAAAACATGCAGCTTTGGTGAAAGTTATTGGTGGCGTCCTTGTCAAACTCAACAGCTAAAGCCTTAATGAAACCAGGGAGCACAGGCAACCCCCATACAATATACATGGACTAGACTACCGCAATGATTTAAGAACAATCCTACTATCTTTGGCCAATGCCTGACTTTTACAAGCCATCATGGGTCAAGGAATATTCAGCTTTACAATATGTGGACCATTTACTTTTGGAAACCGATACAAGAGAAAAATGTTTAAAGGGGACTAAATTGCGCTTGAATTGGCTAGCAACTTATTGCTATAGACAATGTGCTGAAAAATGCATTAAAACTTGATGAATCCTTTGTTGGAGGTCCTGCTATTTTGCTAGCTAGGACCCCTTTAGCTGAAGCACTTCAATAAAAGGAAATTGTGTCTGGTTATCTTCATCGGCTTTGGCACCAGGCTCAGATCTGAATTTAGGGACAACAATCAGGCATGACTACTTGTAATATCCATCATCATCATTGCTAACATCAGAAAAGACTGAGCTAAATGGCACCTATTCAGCCTACCCACTAAGGGGACAGAAGTAACCATACAGCATTGCACTAATAACTATAGAAACTGCAGAGACTTGTTGTGATACCCACAGAGAAGCTAATGATTTTCATAATAAAAATAAGAAGTAAATTACATGGCCATGAAAACCCTTATCAGCAGAGGCAAAGAAAATCACTTTTACAAAAGAGCATTAAACCCATGTTATTAGGCTTCTGTTAAGCCTTTATAAGTCTTACAGAAAGCCTCTTTCAAGCATTACCGCACCCAGACACTGGAGCAAGGAGTTTGCCCATAACAACTTTAAAAGGCCAGTGGAAGCTTGGCAGTTTCTAACTTGACTGCTGGCCCACTATTCATGCAAGGTGAGCTGTGCGCACATGCTTCAGCCAGCCACTCGCACGGCCCAATTCTGAATAGGCCACAGCCTGGTAGTGTGCTGTAGTCCAGGGTTTGGGAACCCCTACCTTAAGGGGAAAAAAGTAGGAGGACAGAGAAAACTTTATCTGAACACTAAAACACAGCTGTAAGGGACAGCTGTAAGCTGTTATCTCAGATAGAAAAAAAGTTATTGGGCCATATCAATGCAATAGTTAGTGGGCCAGTAAGGCAATGTTCTGTGTTTGTGGAAAAATAAATACCAGGCTTCATGTTTGGGATGTTCTGAGTTTCCCAGGAAACAATTATTGCAGAAATTGTTTCTTTCTTTCTGCGCCAACTCAGAAAGCTCAAACTGCCCAAGGATCTTCTAATCCAGTTCTACAGAGGAATTATTGAGTCTGTCATCTGCACCTCTATGACCGTCTAGTTTGGTTCTGAAACCCAACAGGACAGACACAGACTTCAGAGAATAATTAGGACTGCAGAAAAAACAATTACCACCAACCTGCCTTCAATCGAGGACCTGTATACTGCAAGAGTCAAAAAGAGGTCTGTGAAAATATTTGGACCCCTCACATCCTGGACATAAACTGTTTCAACTCCTACTCTCAAAATGATACTATAAAGCACTGCACACCAGAACAACTAGACACAAGAAGAGTTTTTCCCCAAATGTCATCACTCTGCTAAACAAATAATTCCCTCAACACTGTCCAACTATTTACTAAGTCCGCATTACTATTACTATCAATCCTCTCATCATTCCTATCACCCATCCCCTCCCACTTGTGATTGTATAACTAAGTTTGTTGCTTGTATCCTTATGATTTATATTGACTGTTTCCTAGCATGATTTGATTGCTTATTTGTACCCTATGACTATCATTAAGCATTTACCTTATGATTCTTGATGAATGTATCTTTTTTTATGTACACTGAGAGCATATGCACCAAGACAAATTCCTTGTATGTCTAATCACACTTGGCTAATAAAGAATTCATTCATTATTCAAATTGAATTTTTTAAAATCTCTTTGATGAGTACAAAGCCAATCTTTCTAACAAGCAACTTGATCAGTTAAGGTCATAATTATGCCATTCCCATCCCGAAGATACAGAATGTGAACAAATTTAAGAAATGTAGAGCTCTGTATTCTATTCTGCAGTACTCAGCCAACTTCTCCATAGCATTATGCAAACCAGCAGGGGAGAGTATTTCATCATAGTAACTGTAGGTACTTCTGGAATATTTGCAACATTTCTTATGACATAAATTCATGACAAAATATGAAAGAGAATGTCCTTGAAATCCAGTTCCCCTCCAATTTTTTTACAGTAAAATACTGGGTGCAGGGGGGACTCAGATGTTTGATTCTAAAATAATTTGTTCGGGCATCATCAACAGATACAGGCACACCCTGAAACACTTATCATCATGTCTCAATGTAGAAAATGGGAAGCTGTGAGTTTTAGTTCATTAGGGATTAAAAGCTGCTTCACTGCTGGGTAACTTTGGGCCAGTCATTCTCTCTCAGCCAGATCCAAGTAGGTTTGTGGCACACTCTCTGAATTAGGCCATTTCTAGCAGTGCCAAGTAAGCACATACAAGGCTTCCACTTAAGAGCTACAAGTGTTCTAAGCGGATATGCCATACACTCACCTACACTGATGGGTTATAATCATTTGGACAGAGAAACGTCTTGCTTGAAGTTGCTCTTTATGTTCCTTTGCACGTAATCAGGGCTTCCCAGCTTGGCGACTTCCAGGAGTGTGAATTACAACCCACAGAATTCTCATCAATGGCCACACTGGTTGTATAATACATGGGAGTTGAAGCCCTCACTCCTGAAAATGGCCAAAGTTTGGAAACACTTCCCCCCCGCCCCAAAAAAAGAAAAAAAGGAAAAAGCGCTTGAATTTACCCAAATCTGCCCGTGTAGGACAGCGCCGCCCAATTCCTTCACAAACCACCCTTCCCCAAAGATCAATTCCACTTGGACTTAAACAGTTCATGGGGAAGCGTTACAAGGCTTGCACGACTGCGTGCTTCGTTACGGAGCGATCTAGCCTTCCTTCCACCCCCATCGACCCCCTTCTTTCGCGCGCTGCATTCCCACATCTCTCGCGCGAGCACGTGGCTCCCAGTGCATGCCGGAATCTCCCTTGCGCAATAGGTGAGCTGCCATTTCCCGTCATGCACCCGTCACCAGTCACGCGTGCGCAGCCCTACCGTTTGTTTGCGTTGGAGTGCGGGCGGTGAGAGCGAGGCCGGCCTGGAGGAAGAGGCGGCAGCGTCAAGGAGGAACGTAGAGCGGGCGTGCCGCCGTGGGGCGGGGCCGCCGGGCGTCGGCCTCGACCGAGCGACTGGGCAGGTGGGCGAGAGCTCTGCTTCCGGCGAAGGCAGGCCGAAGCTAGGCCTTCCTTAGAAACCTTCCGCCCCTGCCGTCGGGTTGAATGAGGGTGCGAGTGCCTCCTCCTCCTCCTCCTGCTGCTGCTGCTGCCAAACGGCCCAGTCGAGCCCTCGCCGTCTGTTAGGCGCTATAAGGCCAGCCTCTCCCCCGCCACCCACGCCCGAGAAGCCGCTTTGGCTGTGCCGGTCTCCTTCGGTGGGACGAGGTCGTAAAAGTGCTGCGGGGAAGAAAGGGATTCCGCGGCCGCAGAAGCGAGGGGGAAAACTGGAGCGGATGCCCTCCATTTCGAACCGGACTCCCAACTCCGTTTGGGTGCGATGTGGGAAAAGATGACGGAGCGGAGCGGGCGTTTGCGTTGAGCAACGAGAAGGGCTTCCGGGCCAGCGGATCTTGCCCCCCCGAACTAAGCCAGATCCTTGGATCGAATTCTCTGGACTGGTGGGACGGCGGCTTGGAGGGGAAACATGAACAGATACCTCCCGGTAGCACGGCAGCATTTCCTGGCTGTGTTAGCCAGCACCAGTGTAGTCGTGAAATCTATATGTGCCATTGTCATTTTGCTCTACCTTCTCTCCTTTGCTGTAGACACGGTCTTTGGACTTGGGGTTACCCCCGGATATCTCTTCCCACCCAACTTTTGGATATGGACGCTGGCAACCCACAGCCTGGTGGAAAAGCATATTTGGGATGTGGGCGTAAGCCTGACCACGATAGTGGTGGCAGGGAGGTTGCTGGAGCCGCTCTGGGGTGCCCTGGAACTGTTGATCTTCTTTGCAGTGGTGAATATCTCCGTTGGGCTTCTGGGGGCCTTTGCTTATCTTCTTACTTACATGGCGACCTTCAGTCTGCCTTACTTGTTTTCTGTTCGCATTTACGGAATGCTGGGTTTCCTTGGCGGTGTCTTAGTGGCCCTCAAGCAAACCATGGGTGACAGTACTGTTTTAAAGATACCTCAGGTGCGAATGAAAGTGGTCCCCATGCTCTTGCTTCTCGTTCTTTCAGTGTTGAGACTGACCACTCTTGTTGAAAGCAACATTTTGGCTTCTTATGGTTTTGGGGTCCTTTCCAGTTGGATATATCTGCGTTTTTACCAGAGGCATAGCCGAGGGCGTGGCGATATGTCAGACCATTTTGCATTTGCCACCTTCTTCCCCGAGATCCTACAACCTGTGGTTGGTTTGCTGGCCAATCTGGTGCACACCATCTTAGTGAAAGTGAGAGTCTGCCGGAAAACAGTGAAACGTTATGATGTTGGAGCCCCTTCTTCTATTACTATCAGCTTGCCTGGAACAGATCCTCAGGATGCTGAACGAAGGAGGTAATCTTTCTTGAAATATATCTAGGTTAAATTTTTATGTGATCTATGTTGGAAAGGAAAAGGGAGGAACTAAGTGAACTATGGCTACTTTTTCCAAGATAAAACTATTGAGAATAATCCCTTTTTAAATTGATGTTTTATATATATATATGTGTGTGTGTGTGTGCGCCTTACGTATTTGATAAATTTGATTTATTGAGCTTTCTTGTTTGACTACTACTGAGAGCCCTGTCCTCAGAATATTCTATCAAAGATACCAATAACTTTCCAAGTTGATCCATGCAAAGCAGTAGTAAGAGTGAAAAGATACAACTCTCCTGTTCCTGTGCATTTTAAAACAATTCCTTTTCTTTTCAGCAAAGGAGAGAGAAAATATTTAAACCAGAACAAGAAGTTATAGTTGAGATTCAAGAGAATTGTGAATCCAGCTGAATTCTTTTAATGAGGCCTCCAGCTTACTTCTTTAGACTTTGTATTGTCAGTATTGCCAACACTAGGAAAAGTGAGTTGTAAGAAAGTTTATTTTTAAACATAGAGTTAAATAATTCTTTTTCAGACTTTGCATATTTATTTGACCCCTACATTTATGGGGTTACATGTTTATACAAAGGTAACCTCACAGTAGTCAGCAGAATCTAATACTATGCAGTGAGTTTGTTATTACTATTTACAGCACTGTAGTTAAAATTTGCCAGTGGATTCTGCAATTCATTAACAGTATAATTGCATTATTTAAACTTGCAAAGGAGTAGGTTTGAAAATATATAATTATTTCAGAAGAAAGCATTTGTAACTTACTTCTATAATACTACTAAGAAAATTGCACATGGTTGAAATCAAAAGGTTGCTGGTACGTTGTTTGCTTTTTCCATAAAAATTATGTCTAAACACTTTAAAAAATGATCCATTGAATTAACTGGGAACTTCAACAAGTAAGTGAACACACCCTAACTATATATACATTGTTTAGAGTTTAAACTTGAAACAGTTTAAATATCAAAACGTAGGCTTTTTTGTCTTAAGTATGACATTCACCAAATAAAATGTCTAAAAAGAGCCAAAAGGACATTACTCTGCAATTTATAATCACCAAAGAGAATTGTAGACTTGAAAATTCACAATACATATGTTAGACTTCTTTTACACAGCTGGTCTTCAACTTATATACATTCATTCAGCAAGCATTCAAAGTTAAAATAACACTAAAAAATGACTTATGACTGTTTTTCACATGTCCATCGCAGCATCCCCTTGGTCATGTGATCAAGGTACTTGGCAACTGGCATGTATGATGGTTGCAGTGCCCTGGATCATGTGATCCTCCTTTGCGACCTAACAGGTCAATAGGGAAGCCAGATTCACTTGACAACTGCAGTGATTCATTTAACAACTTTTAACAAGAAAGGTCGTAAAATTGGGCAAAATTCATTTCACTGTCTTGGCAATGGAAATTTTGTGCTCAACTGTGGTCGTAAGTTGAGGACAATCAGTACATCTAAAGCATTTAAAAATCTGCCTTTTTTGTTTAATTCTGGTTATTTTGAGTCTAAAATCTGGAAAGAATTCTGATCTTGTTCAAAAATTTAACTTATACATTATACTATTTTTCACCTCAGCAGGTTAATTGTATTAAAGAAAACATTGCTTTAAATTATTATGTTGTGAAGGTCATATGAATGTAGTGGACCAAAACAGGACACAATCAGTTTGAGGAGTAGTTAATAGTTTTATTGTATTAAGAGTATTAATACATTAAATACCCTCGGTAGGAAATGTAATTGTGTAAAGTGATGCTCAGTGTTAAAAAGTTTTTTCTTTAAAAGTTATTTAAAAAACGTCTCTTTTGTAGATGTTTTTTCAGTGAATTGCCTTTGCCAGGCACGCCTGAGCTGTCTTGCATAACTATTTGATCTGTTGTAGTTTAAATATTTCAGCTCACATTCTCTTATGCCTGTACCATAAAAGCTTTCTGCTGTTACTGTGGTTTCTGAACAACCTGAATACAAATGCAGAATAAATAATTACAGGGTTGGAATACTTAATCCTGTGTCATAAGGGAAAAAAGGGAAGTAGTTTTCATTACCCAAAAAGAAATTTCAGTTAAAAGCAGATGTATTCAGTGCACAATGAACTATTTTTTTAGGTTTCATTTTATTTTATTTTTAAAAAAATCTGTTTTCTCCTCTATTCCATTGTGATTTTATAAAACAATATATTCTGAATACTTTGCACTTGTGAATCACAAATTAATACTTGAAAATATGAGCAAATTAGTCATCCCTTTAATGGTTAGGGGAATTACTATGGTGACAAGTTTTTTACCATTTGAATTATTTTATGTACTTGTAACATGATAACAAGAGCACTAAGCACAAATCTGGCCAAGAATTTTCTTCAACTGAAATCTCAAGCACTGTGGTGTAGAAACAAGTAGATCTCCAGCCCAATCAAATTAACATTTCTAGTTATTTAACACTGTGTTTTCTATAAAAATGTTTTATTTTGGACTGTTTGAGAGAGATTGTAGTTTGTTTTAGCAAAGCAGATGTGGATTGAATCCGTAACAACACTCTGGACTACTTTCATTATTGTTCCTGCTGTCTTCTGAACTCTACTGTGAAAGAAAGTAGAGTTTGGGCAACTGCACAGGAAAAGACACCCAAAGAAATGCTGGCCCAAACTGATAAATCTTACCTTTTCTCCCTTAGAACAAAAAAAAAGGTGTGGGGGGGGAATCTGCCAAATAATTGTAAGCTTGTGGTGTTCTTTGGTCCTTTCCTTAAAAGAGAAGATCAAGATTGCATGGGAGGGCCACCAGGGCAAACTTTCTCTCACTTGATCTTTTCCTTGGAAAACATCAGTATGGATGGTTTGATTGTCTAGCAAAAGTTGTAGAAACCTTACATGTAGAATAAATCAGTCCTTTTGTTATAATTATACAAGATTGAATAGATTGAAATTTTATGTAGTATATAATGAAGCATTTAGCCCATGAATTAGATTGCTTTAATAGATAAATAAGAGTTATAGTGCTACACAGTTACTCTTGTTCTTGAGTTATAGTGTTGAATTGTTTGTTTTTTAATAAATGCATTTTTAAACTAGAAATACTTTCAAGCAACACTATATGTAAACTGCAACCTGAACTAGGAATTGCATTATTGTAACATGCATGCTTTCCACCAGGGGTTATGCTCTTACAGAAAGGTCAAATGTCACATATCTGGGCAGTGTCAACTGAGTAAGGCAGCACTTTATATTGGAAGACAATCTATTTTCATACTGTTAAGAAAGAAAACAAATACATTACTAGAGACCTGACTAATAGTTGTCATCAGTGAATAGACACATGAGTTAAAAATATTAATAGATCAGTATATGTTAAATAGATATTGCTGGAGATGTTAATGTGGAGGAATCTATATAGTACATGTGACAAAACACTCATAGTCTGCATTAAATGGATGTGATGTGGGGGAAGAAGAATCGTTTTCAGGCTTGAGTTGTTCATATCCCCACAGCTTTAAAGTGGTTTTAGTCTCTTTTGGTAACTAATACTAGAAAATTCCTGTTCTATGGAATGCATGATAGACTGTTCAAACTTTGTACCATTTTTTCATTCTGTAGACAACTGGCTCTAAAAGCACTGAATGAACGATTGAAGCGTGTGGAAGATCAGTCAGCCTGGCCCAGTATGGAGGATGAAGATGAAGAAAATACCAAGGCCGATACTCCCTTGCTACCCGAAAAGAGCCGGGACTCTGCCAGTGTTGGAAAAGCTACCAGCCAAGAATCCAGCCTCATTACCTTTGAAGATGCCCCCTCTCAGTTGTGACGATGAAGCATTTGCATCGCCTGCCTGCTCCTGCATATCAGAGCTGCTAATGGTCCTTCACCTGCCCTCCCTTGTAGCATTCCCTGTTTTGCAGGAACAAAACACTATGCCTCCTGGCTACTTCCTCCAACATTTGTGAGCCACCTGTGGTTTTGCCAGGTCTTAGGACTCTTTTGGTGAAAACTGAATTGTCAAACTGACCTGAGAAGTTGTTTCATCTCTTCAAGAAGGTGTTGAAATTAAGAACTTCTCAGAACTGGCAGGGGAGGAAGGAGGATATAGCTCAATAAGGAGCATCTCCTTAAAAAGACCTATAAAATTTGCCCCAGCCTACAGCTGCCATTGTGGCTGTTAACACAATGCTTGTGTTTAGTTCCTTGAATGGCAATTCTGGTTAATCTGAATGGAGTCTTGTATTCTCCAATCTGATGAATCTACTCTTCTTTGAATTCTAAATGCTAAATTATCACATACACCCAACGAAAGTATCACAGAACACACCCTTTGTATGTACAGCATTCTCCTCGATTGCAGTTTTATTTGGTGGCAGTGATTGTTGTCAATGATTATTTGGCTTCTTTTTTTTCTTTCAGAATTATTGATTAAATAACCAATTTAATATTGATTAAATGAGCAAAAAAGATCTTTGTTACTCATTTTTATTTCCGATATCCAGGGGTTTCATAATTTTAAACCCTGCCAAATAAAACTGTTAAGTTCCCTCTTGTAGAGGCAGCAGTTAAAGCTGTTTAATAATAGTAATGCCATTGCTGATTTTTTTTAAGTGGAAGGATGCAGGCTGAAGCTTGCTTCTAGATTGCCAGTTAATACTTGGATAGGAAAGCTTTGTCTGAGACTTTCCATAGGACTCCAAAAGCAAATTAATTTGATTTGATTTTTCTTCACTACATTTACAATTATTCAAAGTATAAAGTAGCTTTTGTCTTTAGTGGGCAACCAGTGTATTCAGACACTATTGGGGTAAATTTTTGCCACAGTAGGTTGCATACTACTACTACTATTTCTTTTTTTTTTCTTTCTTTTTTGCAGGAGGCTGATACCTAATTTTTCTGTTTGGTGAGATCATTAACCTTTCCTTTGGGCTGAGATTTTTTTTATGTGAGGCAACAAGTTCTGAGATTTCTTGCCTTGATAGCCAACTAAAGGTGGAGAACTAGGTTAGACAGCACTTAAAAGAATGGAAAGAGAATGTATGAAAACGTTAAGATGATTTTTTTAAAGGACCATGATTTTTTTTGTCAACCAAGAAGTAAAACACAGATTTCAGTATCAATAAACAGTTCTTTTAAAGAGTGCCTCTTGATTGGCTTTCTAAACCTGTCATTCATCATTTCACCATGTTAGCTCCTACTTGGAAAAGAGCTCACAAAATCATTTTCACTGCAGTCAGTATTGTTAACATAAGGGGATGTTAAAATGCAGTAACAAATGTTTGTGAAATCTTTAACATGCAAACTCCTGAACGTTACAGAGTCTTGCTTCTTTTGTAGAATTAAGCCCAGTCTGATCAAGATGGTGTACATCCTTGTTCACTTCCTCGTCCCATTTCACTATAGAAATCCTGCATAATAAACACTGTCCATTTTGAACCTGAAAGCTTAAGTAAAAAACTGAACCATGATATCTTAAAATTCAATGTTTCCAACTGCAGCTGTCTCCTAATTTGTTTGCTTATCCGATCTTTAAAATTTCCACGGTTGAATACATGTCTACTTCTTAGATCTTAAACTTAATGCTTCTTCACCCAATATGAATTTCTTCCGTGCACCAATAAGAAAAACCCACTGATGAGTTGCCATCGTTGTGTACTTGTTCTAAAAATAAAAAGAGAGAAGAATTATATTGTCCTTTCAGATTTGAAATACTGTCGTGATTTCCTTCCACTGAATGTGAAATATAATCTGCGTGGAATGATTTCTGTGGAAGAAATTCACTTTGTACAATGTATTCCCTATAACAGCTGTATTAGAAATGATGCTAATTAAGACAGGGAAATCACTATAGTACCATATTGACTTGATCATGCTTTATTTTAAGGTTAGTAACGAGGGAGAAATTTGCCAACTTCTTGGTGGAAAAGCAGTTCTCAAAAGTATACAGGTACTCCTCAACTTATGACCACAATTTATATTAAGTGAGAAATTTGTTTCTAATATATTTCCTATATATTAGAAAAGGCAAAAATGTGTGAAAAACTAGGGCTGAACAACTAAAAATTAAATGCAGAAATTTGAGTTCACAGGCAGTCTGAGAACTCAGTTTGAGTTGCTGGATCAATTCTTTGATGAGAATAATTTATTCATATTGGACTGAATTTGAAAAGATTCAAAACTAGTGATTTGTGCATGTACAAAAATACTTTTTAGCTTAGATTTTTATAAATCCCAAATGGAATAATTTTCTAAATCACTTTAAAAGTCTGAATCACTTTTTGAATGGCTTAGACAACCTGGTATTTATAACACTAGTTCTGGATGGAATCTTAAATAATAAAAAGTAAGTTCTTAATGAAAGTCTTTGTTACAGGTTGACTCCTGTGAATTAGAAATAGCCTGTTTAGTGAAGTGGTTAAGGTAACCCACTAGAAACCAGGAGACTGAATTCTAGTCCTACCTTAGGTACACAAAGCCAGCTGGATGACCTTGGGCCAGTTTCTCTATGAGCTGTTTTTAATTATTTCCAAAGTTATTTTATTACCAAATCATCTCCCAAAAACAAATCAAAGATGAGACAAAAATGCATAAAAACACGCATATTGTTCTCCCAGTTGAATACTGATAAATATATTTCAATAACAATAATAATATTCAACTTGCAAAACAAATCTACAATTTATAAACTTCCACAGCTCTATTTGCCCAACTAATTTGACCTACCCTCTAATGTAAAAAAAATCAGTTAACAGTTAAAGCCAACAACAAAGTTAAACTTCAAAACTCTATTAATGATTTATTATTTCACATGCAGGAAGTCCTCTACAACTTCTAATCTACCATAGACCACTGCTATTATCTCTAATCTGTCCATGATCAAATTTGATTGATTCTTGAAAATACAATTTTAATTAAAAAACCTTAACTGGAATCTTTCAATAATTATATCTCATTCTCCAAAGTCATAGTTCTCATTGTGAATATCTCTGCAGCACTTCTTGTTCAGATATTATTCTGCCAGTTGGACTACAACATTTCTTTAACAGTTGTCTTCTGTTAAAGAATATGTCTATTCCACAGTCTATTTTCTTTAAAAAGTTCCATTTATTGCTGATCCATACTGCCAACTTAAATTCATAACCTTTTCAGCCTACTCCAATGAACCTACAATTCTCAAACAGCTCTTTCAATTCTGTCAGCAACAAATTGACTTCCAAGCCATCCAATTGCAAGTCTGATTTAACTGTAATTACCTGTATCTCAATATTTCCCTTAGGTTGATTTATAACTCTTGTTACATCATCGAACTTTAGTTTAATTTAGCATTTTTTTTCCAAAGGCTTTCAAGAAAGCTTTGAAATTAAGTTGATCTGACTCTCTTTTATATCTCTTTATGGGCATTGTAAAGAATATATAATGTACAATGTTAAATCTTAATATATTATTGTTTTCATTTTAAATATAATCCAGATTTCTTTTATAGCCAGGTTTCACAACAAAACATAGGCAATTCCTCTCAAAGAAGTAGATATTCCATTAAAAAATGCCCACAGGAAAAATTAAGGTAATATTTCTCACAGGGATGATTCTGTTTATTCCCAGAGAATAAATAGAAAAGAAAGAGAATTTCCCTCTCTTTAGAGAAAAAAAGAGGAGCCAGATATAGATACAAGAGCAAAATAAATCAGCAAAGTTATTTTAAAAATTGATGAAATATAAAATTTTTGCAGTCGTCCGATGCAGATATAAATCAAATCAGATCACATTCACTACCAAGGGGGGAAATTTCCAAAATCTCGCCAAGAAAACTGCAGGACTAATTCAGGCAGTCGTGAGGAGATAACAGTGATATGATGGCACCCACACTCTCGTGAATTAGAAGTATTCTCACCGTTTTGTAAAGTATTTGGGTAGTAACAACCATTGAGGAGAAAATCCAGTAAACTGAATAGATACCTATTTTGTCATTTCATTGTTATGCTGCTATAAAAAGATTTTTGATCTAAAATGTATCTTTAAACTGCCTTTATTCGTTTTCAGGTCATTTCTCTTTATCTGCATAATTATTTCTTCAATGAAGTTTTCAAGGTCTTATTCAAATAATAGGAGCCTTATTGTTGGCATTAGCAACATCTTTGATAGCTTAAGGTGGTTTTGAAATGTAGATATATTAAGAAAGCTAGTCACTAATTCTTAGTCTTGCATTGTAGTCACAGTCATTGTTTATCAGTCATACTCGGACAAGTTTGCACATATTTCTCAGTATGGAAAAAGGGGAAAGGAAAAAAAACATGATTAATATTTCACCATCTTCCCATTATTGTTACTTCCCAGTCTAGGTCACGCTGACATCACTTCTGTAGAGCTGGGCTTCATATGTATGCATTCTTCATGTGTGTGTATATGTATGCATATGTATGCATAAGCTGCATTTCTTGTTTTATTTTCAGTAGTTTATTAACATTTTTAATTAGCCAGATGGCTTTTTTAGATGTCTTTCATTATTTATCATTGGAAATTGTGCAATTTATAACCTCCTCAGAAATTTCCAGTTATCTTGAGCTTCTTTTCCTAGTATACTTAGCCATACAACATTAATTAACACTACCTTGGTTTAATTAATATCAACTTCTGAATTTTGGAGTACATTAAGCTCATGGCTAGCTTTTCATGGATTGAATTCCAGCATGTCATTCATTACCTCCCAGGTTCCTGTACTATATTAATTTTATTAGTCAATTCTGCTGTATTGGCTGAGATCAGATTCTCTCATTCCAGCTCTGCATTCTGAAAGACAGTGTTTTCAACAACGCATTTTGGGAATTAGTTTCCATGACTGCGGGGTTTGTGTTCCTTAAAACATCTGTATTTTGTTATTCTCATCTTCCTATCATTGTTTTAATGATTTTACCAGTGCACTTTCCCATTTTACTTCATCAATATCTAGTTTACTGAGTTACTTAAACTGGTAATGAAACCAGGACAGGAGAAGACAATATTCCAGAGATGTCAGCAAGAACGGAAGCAGCGCATATAGATAAAGACATAAGGCCTGTTGGCTTTAAAATATTTGGCTATGGTGTGGTAAGACTTTGTTAGTTGAAGAGATCAGTATAAAATGTGTTCAGTATTTTTCTGTATTCGTCCAATAGAAAATTGGAAAATCTGTTTCTGCT